TCCTCCTGTCTCAGCCTCCCCAGTGCTAGGATTACAGGTGTGCACCACCACACCCAGTTTCAGTGGCTGGCTTGATGTGGGACCAACATGGCATGTGGCACAGTGGTTGGAACTTAAGTCCTGTGGTTGCCAGTCAGGCGCTTAGACTTCTGATCTGTCTTCCTCGCAGGTTTTCCTTTATCATGGAATGATCTTAATGTCACCACTGAGTCTGATAGATAATTTTGCAGAATACATCAGTCTGGGTTTGAAGTTATTCTCTTCCAGGACCTGAAATACTTCACTCCAAGTTCTTCTTGATTTATTTATTTATTTTTTAATGGTTTGTATTGAGAACTCTCCCATGATTCTGATTGGCTTTCCATTGTAGGTGATTTATTTCTTCTTTCTAGAAGCTTTTAATATTCTGTTTTTTGGCTGAATTTCTGAGATCTTGATTATTATGTGTCTAGGTTTGATTTATTTTTATTATGGCTGTGTGGAGTTCTATATGCCCCACTTAACTGTATTGTCAGGTTCTTTTCTCATGTTTGGAAAATTTTCAGCTAGTACTTATGCAAATAGTCTTTTTATGTCATTTGTGTTATGTCCTGCTGTTTCATTGACACCTTTTATTCTTAGATTAATTTTCTTTGTGTCATCTTGTAAATGCTGAATGGTTATTTCCTGGTTCCTTGTTAGTTTTAAGAGATATTTCCTTGTGCATTGATTACACCACTGTCTTCGAGGTCTGAAAGTCTATCTTCAATTTTGTTCAAGCAGTTGTGCCAGATTTCAATGAAGTTTGTTAGTTTCTGGATATCTATTTCATTTTGATTCATGCATTCTAATTCGTTCCTGTGTTGCTCCGTGTTTCCATCAATTTTCCATTGTTGGGACTGGGGAGATGGCTCAGTAGAATAAGTGCTTGCCTGGCAAGCACAAGGCCCTGAGTTCAATCCCCAATTCTGCAAAAAAAAAAAATTCTATTATTCTCTGTGGTGTTTGTTTGTTTGTTTGTTTGTTGCAGAACTGGAGATTGAACTCAGACCCTTGCACTTGCCAGGGAAATGCTTATTCTACTGAGTGATCTAGCTGGCCCCTGTTTTTTTTTTTGGTTTTGTTTTTAATCTGTCTTCTTTAGCTGTGCTGAACAATTATTTCACAATTGTTGTCACTTCTTTTTGGACCTAAGAGATTTATTTTTGATCTTATTTCTTCTCTAGCCTGATAGACTTGTTTCCATACTTCAGTTGGTATCATTTCACAAATTTCTAGTGTGTGATTTCCAAGGTCAGATATGTATTTATCTCCTGGATTTGTTCTCGGTGGGCTGGAAGATTGAGATTGCCTTTCACTCCTGCATTTTGGCAATTTTTAAGCTTCCAGTAATCACCCAGACTTAGCAGTGGTGGGAGAATGGTGAGGTGTGGGTCAGTAATGTTTACACTGTAGTAGGGTTGGCCTCAACAAGGCTCTCAATGCTCAAATGAATGACTGCCTGATACTCAGTAAGCTTCAGTATAGGTGGTGTGTGTGGGCTGGATTCACCAGGATTCCATGGGCCATCTGGAATCCTCTTAAAGTTTTAAAAGGTTAGAGCAGCACCATCACAGTCTTCATGCCTACATACTGGGCATCAAGGAACACAGCTCACCAGAGTCTCATGGGCTGCCCAGACTCCTCCAAAGTTCTTAAATGTTTGGACCAAGCACTCAGAAAGCTCCACACCTGCATACACTGGGCCCACAGCTTAGCAGCTCACCAGAGTCCTGCATCATTTTTTATCCTTAACTTTCACTCTATGTAACATTTTTTTCTTTCTTTTGTTATTACAAGATTATCTCTGAGTGGTGAGTTTTAAGCAATTTGGTTTTGCTTTGCTTGTACATAAATTTTCTATCTTTTTTTCTGGTATTTGGGCTCAATAAGCTTTTTGGATTTAGGTTTTCACCAAATTTGGGATTACTATTTCTTGAATTATGTTATCTGGTCCGCTTTTTTCCTAGGCATCCAATTTACATATATTCTAGGCTACTTGATGTTCTCCCTCAGCTAACTGATGCTCTGTTCTTTTGCCTGTTTCATCCTCTGATTCTTTTTGAATACATTCTATTGCTGTCTTCACCAATCTGTTTCGATAGTTTTAATATAATTTTTAAACTTGTATTTTAATTTTCATTTCCAGATTTTTATGTCTTTGTCTATCTTCTGTGTTTCTGTTTCACATTTAAATACCTGGAACAAATTTATAAGAAGGCTTTTAATGTCCTTATCTACTAATTCTATCCGTGTCAGTTTGTAGGTCAGTTTTGATTTACTTTTACTTTCAATTTTTCTTTTCATTGTACTTTTCTGCAAGTTTTGAACACTTGCTATATGCATAAGATGGAACACACTGGTTTTATCTTGGTGAGTACTGGACACCAAGGATTGTACTCCCATTTAATATCTTGAGCTTTATTCTAGGTCTTATTTTAAGATTTTTATAAGGAAGACTAAAACAATGTGTAATATAGGACTTTTTACTATTCAAGCAAGATTCTTCCAACTACTCTATCAAAGTCTTTATGAATTATGAGGTTTTTCAATCTAGTTAGTTAGAACATAGTTCCACACTTTACATTATTTTTTTTCTTTTTTCATAATATCCCTTGTTCCTACTTCTCTAAAACCACATAGATTACATCAAAAAAGTTTAAAAATAATATTTTCAACAATTATGATCTAAAAGATCATAGTAATAAGTTTTTTCTCTGAAACTAAATACCTTTTGAGTTGATTTATTACTTAAACAATTGTATAAAACCTACCCTGCATTATTAGTTCATGTTTTCCTCTAACCATTTTAGACAGTTCTTGGATTTTTTTTTTTTTGGGGGGGGGCGCAGGATCAGGATGCCTTAAGTGCAAGTCTGGTTAGGCATGAGGATCTGGGGATCAAACCACAGTATCCTTAAACTCACTTCTTTGATTAAGCAGGCACTTAAACAGTTGTGCTAATGAGCAGGGCCCCTAGACAGTTCTTCTTGAGACCTTCATCTTTTTCAAACATGTATTTATTAATGGTAATATCTATTCCTGAGTGAAATCCTCCACAGAATATAATTCTATTTTCTTCTTGTGTCTCTCTTACTCTTTCTTGCTGACTCTAACTGCCTTGAGTGCCTCTTAGTTCTAGCACCTCAGCTCAAACCTACAGCCTCTGGCTGGGTTTCCCTTACCTGAACAGCATCATGAAAACTCTAGAGGTGATAAAGTAGGGCAATTATCATGTACCTGATTTGCTTCCCATTTCTTAGAGGTTATTTCTTTCATTGAGTAACATCTGATTTCCTCAAAACTGTTTCATTATTTTTGTTGATCTTTGGTGTTTGATTTCAAGATTGGGAATAGTAGGTAAATCTAGTCCTTGGTACTGTATCTTGACAAGCAGAAGTCCTTGGAGTACTGAAATTTATCTTTTGATGCAGTTACTTAACTGTCATCAAAATTTTACCTATTAATTATAATGTAATGTTTCAATGCATGTATACGTTGTGCAGTATTTGATTCAGGGTAAATATTTAACTCCTCAAATATGTATCATTTTTGTGATAAAAACTGAAAACCATTTCTTCTTGCTTTGAAAGTGCAGCATTCATTGTCTATCTGTGATGCACTCTACTGTGCAGTAGCACACTACAGCTTTTTGCTACAGTTGTTATGCAACAATCACCCTTTCCCATCCTTCCTTTCCAGGGATGTTCTCCAGCCTCTGGTAATACCATTTTACTCTCACTTTCTATGAGATCAACTTTTTAAAATTCAGTGTAACAAGTTCATATGATAATGTCTCTTTCACTCCTTGCCTTTCTTGTCATAGAATCCTCCAGTTTCATCCATGTTGTCACAGGTGGGAGGACTTCATTGTTTTTTATGGCTGAATATTATTCTATTGTGTATGTACCAGATTTTCTTTTACCTATTTATTCACTAATGTACCCTTAGGTGGTTCCATTACTTGGCTGGTATAACTAATGCTACAGTCAACATGGGAGTGTATTTTTTTTCAGATATTTGTCCCATTTCCTTAGTATTTGTTCACAGTAGTGGAATTGATAGACTATATAGTAGTACTATTTGAATTCTTATGATTATCACATAGGTCTGTTATATTGAAATCATTCATTATCATATGTAATATTAATTTTACATTTACTTCAGCATATGTCATTTTTCTCGTAGATTGTTTTGTTTATTCTGCTCCCTTACATAGTTTTAGCCAATGATGTTATTTAGAATTTGATATTACTATTTTGTCTTTTATTTTAGTGCTTTTGATAGTTATGAAAATTTGTAATAATAATTTTGTTTTCAAATTGAAAATACTTGTTAAGGAAAGTTTACTATTTCTAAATGATAGTTGGGATAGTTTACTTAAAGGAATTGCACAATATAGGAGTATATTTAAAATAGAGCATTACTATGAGGCTATGTTGAGTTCACAGCATTCTAATTATAAAATATATTGAATGGGCATATTCTTAGTTACTGTGATTAAAGAAAAACATGAGATTCATTTCTGTACAGTGTTAGAAAGCAGATGATAATGTTGGATTTTATGTTTTGCTTTCTTCAGTATGTTTTGCAAGAAGCTCCTAGTTTTCAATAATTAACTACATGGGTCCTTCCCTTCCTTGTTAAACCTTTATACTTTGGGACCCAGATTGCCAGCCAAGTTGAGTAGCTCTTATCTCCTCTTGACTATCTAGTGTGTTGCAGGTTAACACCTCTCACTTTTCACTTTCCTCCTCTATCATTAACAATACCCTGGCTCCAGAAATGTGCTATCCTCTGATCTGAAAAACAATAAATAAAGATTTAGTCTATCAGAAAATATGACTTAAGTTGTTTTGACAGATAGCTGTGCAGCATAGAATTTGTTTTTCCTAAGTAATAGTCAGATTACAATGTTACTGATATTTTCTTTTTGAAAAAAATATTGTAAATGTTTTTATGAATTGTTCTTTTTCATTTAGGATTTGCTGTCTCACATGCTTCATGTGGACCCACATCAACGGTACACTACTCAACAAATATTAAAACACTCATGGATGGCCCACAGAGACCGGCTGCCCAATGATCAGCCAAAAAATAATGATACATCACATGTGGTTAAGGTAAAACAAATATGCTTGTATGTGACTTCTAAATACTTGATACCTAGTGAATTTTTCATATGATCTTCACTAAGGATGCTTAAGTAATTGCATTAAATCACTTTTCTTGTTGTTGGAACTGGAGATTGAATACCTTTATTTCTTAAAGATAATTATTTTGTATTTTGGTTTTCTTTTAAATAGCAATCATGTACTCTTCTTTACTTTCTTACTATTGATTTTCTTTTCTTTCTTTTTTTTTGTTTGTTGGAACCAAGGATTAAACTCAGGCCTTTGTGCTTGTCAGGCAAGCACTTATTCTACTGAGCTGTCTCCATGGCCCCACAATTGATTTCCTTATGACAATACAAAAATACCTCACTTTCACTTGCCTTTCTTTTGATTGATACCTTGGCTAGGAGTGTACTAAATGTAAGTTCCAGATGGAAGCAAAAATTTTTATTAGTTACTACATTATAACCATTCATACCAGTTCCTATATCCATTGTCATTGAACCTAGATTTTAAGATTAAGAATTTTTGTAAGAAACATGGTTTATTAAGTGAAAAATAGATAATAATCAAGTATGGATTTGTCAAGGCTGTATCAGCACTGTGAATATACTTATTTATTTTTCTCTGGAAATTTTGGTTCCAAAAACATAGATCATGATATAATGTAGGTTTTTGTGTTTTGTTTGTTTTGTTTCTTATCACAGAGATTGTTGCTTACCTGGTTGTTTTTTTGTTATTTAAGGGAACTGTGGTTGCCACATATTCTGCCCTGATGCATAAGACTTTTCAACCAATCCTAGAGCCTGTTGCTGCTTCAAGTCTAGCTCAGAGACGGAGCATGAAAAAGCGAACATCAACTGGCTTGTAAGATTTGCATTGTTCCTCAGCTAACCTGGATGAAGAGAAAATTAAACATGGCTTTTTCTAATTTCATATCGAAGGCATTATATTCTGTTATATTACTTGAATATTCTATTTAATTCCCCTTTTTAGGGCAAGTAAGATTTAAAAAACATGCACAGGTCCATAATATTCATAATATGTTGTTTTACAGTAGTGTCCAAGTATTTATTTAAGCATATAATTGGTCTCTGCATACTAGCTTCTAAAATTCCTTTCAAATGAAGTTACTTTGTTAGTGTTTTTCTGTTTCATATGGTAATTATGAATTCACTAATAGTAATGAAAATGCTTATAGCATAATGCCAAGCAATGTCAGTATTTTTAATATCAAATTCTGAAATACCTTTTTTCTTTCTTTAGAAAAAATCAAGTACTGTACCGTATAAGCTTGTTATGCACAACCAAAGGATGCAATTTATTTGACTTTCTCTAGTTACTAAAATGTAGTCATAGTACTTTGGTGCCAGAACAAGATAAATTTGTGCTAAAATACAAATTGCTGATATGATTGGTGCCAAAGTTCCTCCACAAGATTTAAATCACCAATAATCTCTATAGGAAGTTCTGTATATTAACCATAAATGGCCACATCTAAAAAGGTTTACATAGGCTTTTAACAGTTTACATATAAAGGAATTATAGTCCAATGATTGATTGTTTAGCCAGAGTCTTTTTACTGCTCTTGTAATCTTCTTAATATGCCCAGGTAAGCCTTTGAAAATAAAATACATACTGTTGGCACTTTCTGGCATTATGTATGTTGACTTTCAAGTTAGCCAATTAGCATCAGTCATTGTGTACTCATTTATCATGAGCTGCACTGTTTTTTTTTCTTGATGTCCATGTGCTTTGAATTATACTGTAGCATATGGATTTACTTGGAATCCTGTTTACTTGGGTGAAGTTTAACTATAATGCACTTGTGCACTCAACACATATGATACAGCATAATATAGCTTAGTGAACTTTAGACATTGCCACATAATAATTATACTTCAAGAAAATAAGTTAGCATTTAAATAAGAAGTAATATTAATAACCTACATAAAATTTGACCACATTTAAAAGTAATATTTATAAATATCTGACCAGAACATCTTACTACAAATTATTTAGAACCACTTTGTAATATGCATCATTTTCTCTGAATGCTGAAATTTTAAAGAATCATTTTGTGTTGTTCAAGAAAATGCCATGACTACTATTACTGACAGAAAGAATTCATGAATATAAACTGGAGAATATGAGTTTTGTCTAGTGAATGTAAGAGAGCTACTTGTGTGTGAGATACATGTACTATTTGCTGTGGATTTTATTTTGCTTAGCTCACAGAAAGTGATTACTGAGTATATGATTTAGGCTAGAAGACATGTATCTTTGGTATTTAATAAATGAAACTATACATATTCTCTTTATAATGTAATCTATATCCCATGCACAAAGTCGTTTCCTGAATGTAATATTTAAATGTATGTATTCTACTTTTGAGGTTGAAAGACACTAGAAAACATCTAATGCCATGTGAAAACATTGTTTAGAAAGAGGCTGGTATGGTAGTTTCTGGATTTTTATTTTTCAAAGTGGCATTTTCTTTCCTCATTTTCCTTTATTACATTAACTACTTGCATGTAACCATTTTTATCCATATACTTTGATTTATTTTCCTGAAGTCATTATCTTGTTTGTGTTGTGTGCCCTCTTCCTATCAAAATAGATCAATCAAACTCAAGATTATAATTTTGATATTGAACTTTTCAGGGTATATACTATTTCCATGTATGTTTTTCAAGAAATAACATTAGAAGGTATAAAACTGGAAAGTGAAATATGATCACAAAAGGACCTCAATTTTTTTATAATCAGTAATTTTAAAAGTAGATGATCTTGATTTTAATTTAATTTGCTTAAAGCAGTCATGCCATACACTCCTATCATGAAACGCTCTGAAAAGTAAGGAATGAATACCACGATTTCTTATTATTATCCAATGTGTTTTGATAATGCATAAAACACACAGGCATGTTAACAATAGTTGTGAAGAAAGTTTTCTGCTGGAAAATTCAAGCATGCTAGCATAGCAGTAGTAGTGAGGGTACAAAATATTATATAGGAAAGTTTCAAAGTATACTGTCACTTTGTAGAAGACACTCAGATGCCTAATCATAGTCCTTTTTTGGCTAGAACTTTATAGTTAACAAATGAAGATTTAAATGGAACATTTTTATGAGGGCTATATAAATACTTGACCACTGAAAATATTCTTTCTAGAACTTTCACTGTGGTTTCTAATGTATTCACGAAGAGTTATTTTGTATTGTTTTTCTTTCTGGTTAACTGTTTTGATAGTATATACTGATATCATAGTTTTGAGTTTTTTATTGTTCTACAAGAGAAATTGTATTAAATTAACATTTCTCAAAGAACGCAAGATTTACTCATAGAGGCTTAACAGTTTATGACCCTAAAGCTCAGATCAATAATCTTTTTCCTTGAAGCACATATTATTAAGTGTAAACTCAGAAAATCTTTGTTAGCAAGAAAATTAAATTAGAATGCAGTACTGATGACTGTGATGTCCTGCAGAAAACAATGGTTTCAATCCTTTCATAAAGATCAAAATAGCCTATTTTGTTAGATGAAGGAATGCTTAAACATTGGTTTTGGTGAATATAGTAAAACATTTTTTTATAGTTCCTCTGGTTAGAATAGATGCTTGGTGTTTATAAAGTCTCTCCCAGTAAAACAACACGTTAAAAGAGTACTGTACACAGGATTTTCTTTTCATATATTGAATAGTATCCTGAGAGAAATAGGCCTTTCATGAATGCAAGAATATACTCACATAACTTGGGCTCTAAGGCTCACTTCAAATACTACCATTTAGGCAAAGCAAAGTTTGTTCTTGGTATTGTTTACTCTTTGTTCTTGCTTTCCAACACTCTCACACTATCCCTGTTGAGCACCTCACAGACTCTCCCAAGAAAGAGTCTCTGTCCAAAATAATTTTGCTCCTTTTTCCTTCCCCAAAGCAGGACTTCCATTATTTAGGACAGCAATTTTTACCTAAGGTAAATAACGTTATATCAGTTAATTATTTCACATTTTTATATCAGTGACTAAGAGACAATCAACATTTAACACAGAAAATATCCATTATATAGATAAATTTCTAGTTGTAGGAGTTTCAGGCAACAAATCAAAATGAGAATAATTTTAAATACAATTATATCTTCAGTGAAGATATACTTTGGAAAAGGAACCTACACAGTAGATCCCAGGGTCAGCATTTCTAGTAAAATAATACCTTTTTTGCACAGTTTCTTCCTTTGTATGATTCAATCTGTGTTTTCTTTTAAAAATCCTCCAAATATTATAAATAATGAATGTATATGCAGAAATGGTGTGAAGGGAGGCAGGAACTACTAGTCACTTCTTTACGAGTTGCTAAGCTCATATTTGTTTGTCTTGCTAGTTACCATCCTACATGATTTTTATAATATAAGGCCTTTTACCCCACTGTTCAATGTATTGTCAAAAAAAAAAAAGCACAGGAAGTTTGAATACAAACTAGCCATGGATCCTCTTTCTACATTATAGGAAGTAAAGATCCTATGTATCATAATGTTAGTCAGCAACAACAATGCAAGCCACAATAAATATAGATTGGCCAGCTAACTATTAAAATTTAGAAGTGTTTTTACATTTTTAAGCTTTTTCTGGCAGTTTTGACATGCATAACATATATTGTACTCATGCATATGCTGTTTCTGGATTTAGTCTTACAATAGTGAAGTGTATCATATGATTTTGAGTAAAATTATAATGTTTGATCACTTGAAAATCAGTTTATTGCTAATATATGGGGGAACTGTGCTTGAAGATACATTGTGTCTTAATTATATGCATTAGTTCTTCTGAGTTATGTAAAAGAAGTAAAAGTAATTTTATAATTCATAAATGCAAGATAACTTACATTGTATTGGCTAATTATGTACCTTTCAATTATGCCTAAAAAGAAAAGAATATGAATATATATATATATATATATATATATATATATATATAAAATCTCCATGTTAGGATTTGTTATTATTTCCATTTGTGAACCTTAGACAATAGTACTTTTCTGCACCATTTTGCTTCACTCTACTTATCCAGTTATGAGAACTAATTTAATCTTCAGAAGATTTTTATTAAACATCTCATTTTATGTGGGACATTTCTAGAGAATGTATGTATTAAGGGAATCAGTTTCTTAATAGATGTGATGTGACCCTTTGGATTATTTTCTTTTATCTTATCTATTGACCGATATTACTCTGGTTACATTTGATTTGTCTTCATATTTGTTGTCTCTGAAATTGATACAACTTATAGGAGAACTCTCAAGGATTTTTTTTTAAGTTGATAAAACTATTTTTAAACGCAGGAAAGCAGTCTTATTTTTAAAAAACACCACTTTTAAAGCTATAATAATGTTTTAAATAGTCAAATGCCAGAATGATTTGGAAATAAAATTTATTTTGCATTAAATTTCATAATACAAAAATAAGAAATATGGTTTTGCTGTATTTGATCTTTAAAATAAGTACCTGTGACATAGGGTTTATGAAAAGAGAGCATAGATTAATATAGCAGCAATTTTAAAAATTGGTTAAACAATATTTCCCAAGCACTTTTGACTTCCTATATTTTCTAATATAGAAATATTATATTGACTCATAACCCACTGCATTTCTCAATACAGAAATAATGTAAATAGAAATTGTGTATACATTTGATTCATGGTATAATTAAAATGCAAAAGATGCAATTGAACAAATTTTTACCCCCATGTTAAGAAAACTGTATTTTCTTAGTTGAATATACTACTGACTTTATACCATTATTTATTTTACAGTTATTTTCCTTAAAGCACGGTTCCTTCTGCTTTGAATTTTTCATTCATTGTACTCTATTTTTTATCATATGAGACCAAATCTAGTAGTGCACTTTTATGTTTCTTAATAGTGCTGCTAAGGTAATGGCTATGTTTTTGAATTTACAACATGCCAAAGATGACATAAATATTATATTTATTTTTGTTCTTGTTAAAACTCTGTGAGCAAAAATTCTCAAGATACCGTGTTATATTATACTGGCGTTCTCTGGATACTAAATAAAAGGCTGCAAATTTCTAACATTTTATACCTGATCTTCCTCGATCATTTATGGATTTAAATCTTTTGTGG